GTGTATATCTACTTTCATAGATCGTATCTATTATGTCGCAGTTGAAATGTTCTTATCTCCAGTTTCTGCATGTCCTAGAAAAACCAATATGATTGTCGCAGCATTTGACACGACCTTGGTTTTAACGAGCTGCCTCTCAAAGCTTTTGCCTTTACGTCGAACGCGAATACTGCAAATATGCAGTACCTAACAACCTCTTTTATAGCAGGTTATCGTATTACTGTATTTCATGTTCCAGTGCGTTCCAGTCACATTTTCCGATTCACAGAAATTTGAATTTATAAAGGCTGTGGAAACGAAGAAAACAAGTTAACCAAATTAAGGAAAAGGAAATTCAAAGGACAATAAAAGGAAGTTTAAAAATATATATACAGATTTAATCAAACGCGGTAAAAAATTCCATTACGCGAATAAAATAAAAATTGCCCAATTTTCATTTCAAACCAATTTATTTCACATATTTTACGAGTACTTCGCCGATTGGAAGTTCACGAAATTCATCTTAGCGACAAACGCTTCAAAAGCACGTTAACGGTGCACAATGTGGTTCATTGCGTTTTTAGTTAATTGGCACAGGTAGAAATTAGCAGAAAACTGAATATTTATTTGGATTTTTTCAATTAGATATGCACGTAAATAACGTTTACTGTACTAAACAATGGAATAGGCCCATTTTGACACCTGCCATCAACGTAACTAGGAATTTGAAGTAAACAAATCGTTAATCAGATTGCGCGATTCTCACGAGAAATCAATTTTGGAAATTTTTGCGATGATCAGGTTAAAATATTTTTCGGTATTACGTTATAGATAGAACAATAAAATTATAGGTATTAAGGTCTATGTGATCAAGTCATTTTCCAATACGGCTAAAGACTGCGCGGTACCTAGACCGAGCGTCGTTAGGTCGAAATTAGTATAGACAACTCAAAATGTCCAAAAAGCAAAAGGGAATGAATATGGCATTACGGCTCTAGGTATTGAGATCTTTTGCGTTGTTACATTAATATAAAAAAAAATTACGTGGTATCGTATTGAGTCGGTGATATTCACCGATCTAACTGTTTTTGAGAAGTTACATAGTAATTAAAAAACTAAATTGTATTTTCAAATTCTGTAGTACCTATTATATAACGGGCTAATAAAATGTGTATTTTCCTAATACGCAATAGTCCAGTGTTTATGAGACTACAGTCATATTCTATTCTCTCTCTTAGCTGTCAAAACATGCCTATTGAAAAACATAGACGCTTACTTTGTCCTATACCATTCAGCATCAACCCTTAATGCATCACATGATATCACATGAAATAATTTTTTTATGAACATGTGTTTATTGCCGTTTCCGTTTAAAACAAGGAAAAGATACTAATATATGAAAAGGCTGTAAGGTTTGCCTACCCAAAAAAATGGGTGAAAAAATATGGCCACCCTAAAGCAATAACGTATAACCCGCGAAAAAATTTAGAAAAACTTTTAAAAGAGCTATTGAAGGAAAATAACGATCTAAGATTTGGCAGTATGGCCAATTAGACGCCTTAGCCTGTCCTTAAGGACGAACAATTTTTCTACTACTATGTATTTACTAATTACTAAAAACCAGACATTTGTAAAATGGCATTGAAAATGTTAAGCCACAAAATTTCAATCTAAAAAAAAATGTCTGACACCATTATCGCGTTGGCGATTCAATGACCGAAAATCAAAGGGTAAGCTGACACTCTCCGGTTGACCCTAATCGCCTTATAATGACCTATTTCCACCACTCATTTCTCCTATTGTCCAATACAAAGAGGAGTGAACATTGTTTGCATGAATGGGACGCTTGATGGACTGGAAGGGGGACAGAGCGATAATAACATTATAGGTAACGCAGAAATCACAATGCTGTACCATACTTTGTATCATGACATCACTCCTTTCATGTAGGTATATACCTATAAAAAGCACATGCTTTTATTATCTGGTTGCTTTTCATCGGTTTACAGTGTCTTTTTGAAAACTTCAACTGTGTATCAAGTAGGTAGATATAATGTAATTTTTAAAGTTTGTGGAATCTTACGTCAATTTACTACCATGATAGTTAATATTTTTTTGTGATATTACTCACTAGTTATAATTATTATAACAAAGATCGAAATATTAAAAAAAATTCATTCGACCCGGCTGGATTCGAACCAGCACTCACAGGCAATCCGTGCCAGACGCTATACCAACTAAGCCACGGAACGAACCAGCGGACCTCACGAATTTTGTGCTTGTTGTCGTATCTTTGTATTTGGTTTTTCAAAGAGACATAGCGCCATCTATGAGAAATCTATGAAAATATTTCGTCACTCAGTTAGATATACCTTTACAACTACCAGCCCTGGCTAGAGATGTCGCTACTCACTGTATTTAAATTTTTATTGAATTGATATTCAATTATTTTTTTGTGAAATGACTCCACTAGTTTGTTATAATTATTAATACAAAAAGATCGAACACTTAGGAAAAATTCCTTCGATCCGGCCGGATTCAAACCGACGTCTTCTTCTTTATTAATTAATCCATGGAACGAATCAGCAGATCTTACATTCAATGTGCTTCTTGCAGATCTATGTTTTTGGTTTTTAACAACTTTTTGCCGTAGCGCCATCTGTGAGAAATTTATTTCTTGACTCAGAGAGGTACCTTTACAGCTACCATTGCTGACTAGAGATGTCGCTTTAATCATTGTAATTTTTAAGTTTATTGAATATATTACTTCATAAATGTTTATCTAATTGTATAGGATTTACTTAGAAACAGTAGAGGTCCTTGTGAGTTTGTCCAGGGAAGTACAGCCACCTTGCCTATTTCTGCCAATCATTAATGTGAACATAAATGCGTTTCGGTTGTGAAGGCCACAGTATTCATTAGCAAGCTGTAACAGTAACGTGGCAGATACAGTAACGAGGTACTAGTGTGTACGCGTGGAACAGACTTCCTTGTGAATGACTTCAGGGAAGTACTGCCGCCTTACCTATTTCCACCGCCAAGTAGTGTGAGCAATATTGCTTTTCGATTTTAAAGGGTAAGGGTGCTAGGGAAATTACAGGCACATGGGACTTTTCAACCTCAACCTGTCTCAAGATGACGGGCGCAGTGGTAGTGCCCCATGTGCCAGCTGCAACTGTTACAAACAGGCGTGTCACTTACCACTGGCGCACAACTTGCTCGTATCGTCTCTTAGTATCATGAAAAAAAAATTGCTATTATTGAGTCTTTAGGAGGAGGCGGCGTAATAAAAATACGGACTTATTAATGTATTTTCATTGCACTTAGAACGACCCTGAATGTCAGCATCGCATGACAATGACACCGAGGATACAGTTCCATATCTTGCATATACTCGGGTGTACCACTACAGAGTGTTTTTTTTTTTCAAATGAGCCAGTACGGGGAAATCCGAAACCATAGAATATACAAGGAAACTGTCTTAGGAACCATTAAGTATTTCTTTGTGAAAAGAATTTTTGCGTAGCCAATTTTTTGGTCAAGCGTGAGTTGTCCATAAAAATGAATAAAATTTATCAACATTTTTTTTAATGCTGAAGACTCCGTTTCTTATAAGAATGATTTTATTGTATGGGAAAAAAAGAATCGAGATAACTGAAGTTGGTGAAATTTAATAAAATGTTATTAATTTTGTATGTTTTCATTCATATTGACGAATTTTTGTCATCGCAATTTTTTTCTTCCAATATTATGCAGTCATTTTTATAAGAACCTGAGTTTATTAGCATTAAAAAATTCATCGATTTTATTCATTTTGTGCGAAAAACTATTTTATGAAATTTGACCAACATCTGCTATCCTGATTTTTGGTCCCATTCAATGAAACAATCCCTTCATGAAACTGAGACGTTCAGCACAAGAAAAAAATTTGATCAGTTTTATTCATTTTTATGGACAACTCACGCTTGACCAAAAAATTGTCTATGAAAAAGTGTTAAAGACTCCTAAAACAGCTGCTTTGTATCTTCTATGGTTTCGGATTTCCCCATATTATCCCATTTAAAAATACACTCTGTAATGTATAGGTGTATACATATACATAGTTATGCATGTATAACTCTCACCTCTTGGGAAATAAACCACGGTTTATCCCGACTCGAACCTGAACACGTGTGCATGAGAATTAAATTCCAGTCGGTGCCTTCATCAACATTTTGAATTTGAAATTAGGTTTTTGTCTATTTTGGGGTGCTGAGCATTCTTATGTATTAAGTATCAGTTGAATATATGTATAAAATCGTAAAATGACTCCATTTGAATATATGAACATTCATCTAATAAGACGAAACTGATTTTTTAAAATATTTTCGACCGAGTTTTGACGATTTTTTTTTTGTTGGAAAGGGGGTACCTCATTATTGATCCCATTTAACTGATTTCAACAAAACTTGGAAATAGATGTAATTACACGAACTTTTTAAGGTTTTTTTATATATGAAAAGTTATCATTATTAAATTAATGTAAGTTACAAAGGGGCAGGGGTACAGGGGTCAATGGGTACAGAGGTCAAGACCACGTCAAGCTTGAAACTTTAGATATAAATAACACTCTACGACTTTTCTTATGATACCGAGTGACGGGACACTAACAAGTCATGCGCATCCATAGCAGTTGTAGTGTCACTCAGAGCTTTAAATCGCATACATGTGATAGCCACTGCAATTGCGCCCATCACCCTGAGGCATAAGTTGACAAGTCCCATGTGCCTATAATTTCACTAGCACCCTTACCTTTCAAAACCGTAACGCAGTAATACATTACCGCTTGGCAGCAGAAACAGGTAAGGTGGCTGTACTTCACTGGACGAATTCTTTGACAATCTACTGTTACTAAAAGTTATGATTTTTGTCTAATATAATAATATGTTGCTTAATATAATAGAATAGACCTATCATACAAGGTCAAGATGACGTAAAGCTTGACAGTTTAGTGTTTCCAAGATTTATGTGCGTATGCATACCTTGCCTTCGCTTTTCCAGTAGATAAAGAAGCCATATTCGTCGACCTTGAACAGACAGTTCTGCTCCAGCTCGGTGTTGTCCTTTTCTTCCGTCCATCTGTCGAAAACCGCGCCCTGGACAAAATGGAACGATCACATACCTCTAGGTACACCATAATATATACTTATAAGTAGGGATGCCAGGTCTTAAAACTGATTTACCGGACAGACCAGCAGGTTAGCCGGGTATTTAGGTAAAAAGGCCAGACACTCTACGTTTTTAAGGATTTTGTGACGTAGTTTTAATTAATTTTTTTTTTAAACAACACTACATATTTTTTTGATCATTTATCACTAAAAAATCACAAAAGACATGTTCATTGTTCAGCTTCCAGAATATAATCGAGAAAATAAATTAAATTAAAACATAAACACTCGCTAACCAAGCAATACGCATCACATGTCGCAATTATACTATAAAATATAGTCTACTTATACTACAACAGAATTGAGTCCACTTTATTATTAATATTATTTATTGCCTATCTAATCTATATATATAATGATTATCCATCGAAAACAAAATTAAACAAAACTTGGTTAAATATAAGAAGCCTAATTTAACTAATAATTATTATTAAATGATTAATTATTAATAAATAAATTGATTTATTTTTAAAATACTTTAAATTTAAATTTGACAATCATTTGACTTTCTGAATATATTTGCTTAGATTTATTTATTTTCATTGTAATAATATTGTGATTAATAATGTATATGTTAAAAATTGACATTGCTGCGCCCTTACATGGTACATGGTTTGATACTTTACCAATTACTATAAGACCTAAATGTAACAATATGTTTTGCAATAAACGATACTATTATTATTATTAACAAAAGTCGGACAAGTCGGCCCGCTTAATTTGGTCCGACACGCATCCAGAAGCCTAACAATATCCGGCTATATCCGGACGCCTGGCAACACTACTTATAACTATAGATACATAAGAATTTAGCTGCGGGTAAATTTATGAATCTGGAACATCGCGGGTCTACCATAATGCGAAGGTTCAGGCCATAGTCTGCTACCCTGGCATAATACGAGGGGCTACGGACGTCGTTTCATCACGATGCTTTTCTTCACTCTTAGCGAGAGGTAATTACTAATCAAAACATTCAAAAATGTAACATAACTTAGAAATCTAAACCGAACCGTCTACGAAATAACGACTCGGTGACCTAAGTGCGTTTGCGCAATACATCCGATTCGTATTTGTTCCAAATCCGAGATTATACAGATCTAGAAAACTCTGATCCACTTCGGATGTCGCTTGTGCACTAACTCCAATTTGAATTTGAGAAAATACAAATATCGCTTGTACATCCAGACATAAAATGCTCCCTGTGACATTTCGGACCGCAATTTTTCGTATTCGGAACTGATATTAATCGGACGTAGTACGCAACGTTCTAACAGTTTGCGTCTGGGTTGTTGTTGATGCAGGTTTTCTACACATCAGCGAAAAATGTGCATCCTTACTAAATCTGTCTACATGAAAGCTTTCTATTTTCTTTGGTATTGTAATATAAGCCTAGCTTAATCGTTCTGGTATTTTATCAAAGTTATATTTAAAAAAACAGTTGAGCTGATTTTTTTGCTTACAGTCTGTTTCTGGAAGGTTTGTAAATTATTCCAGCGTGTCTTTGAGAGCCTTTGCATACGGCTTGTTTTATATGCGCCGTAAATATGTGCAAATGCGCTGAAGTGAATCGATTCATTAAGCCAGTAGCTTATATTCAGGAGGTCTAAGAGCCTATGCACACAGCGTATTTTATACGCGCTCAACTACGAGCGCTTAAGACGCGCGTCATCTGCGTGACTACGCGCCACAAACGCGCTGTGAATTTAATTGTGAAGTGACTCGATTCAAATGCGCACAAACATTGCGTTACAAGCAAGAAGCTTATATCCTCCACTGGAATTTACGCTTAGAATTTCATGTAGTTGCTTCATTTCAAAAATTAACTGAAATTAACAAACCGCAAAGAATATCAGCATCGATAAATGCGGATGCGAATATTGTATGCTGAATATCCGCGGATGTGGATGCTGATATTCGCAACAACCCTGGTTTGCACTGTGGGCGCTGCATGCGGAGGTCCCGTGTATGAACAACTTGGGAAAAAACTTTGCAAAATTGGTTCTGGTCTATAGTGCTCCAGAGTAAAACCCCTTGGGACCTGGCAACTGGAGTACTGGTGTAGTTGTCTGGCAAATTATTATTATTATTTCGATGGAGAAGCTACCTCTCTCTCAATATAGCTCTCTCAATAGGGCTCTGAAAAGCCCATTCACGACGTTCCAGCTATTTACTTTGTCTTAGGTGTCGTGAAAACTGGGCCTAATAAGAATCTGTGTCCAGTAACAGACGTACCTTGAGCAGCGGTTCTGGGACGGAAATCTGCCAGTTGAACTCGAACTTCTTTGTCATGACTTCGGCTCCTCACTCCGTGTCAGCAGAAGTTTAATGGCCGAGCATCCTCGGCGACCTGCTAACAAGCATTGGTTGTTAACCAGTTAATTTGAAGACATAGATTTCTCACAGATGGCGCTGCGGCAAAAAAGTCGGTCAAAACAAGAAACAAAGAGCTGCAACAAGCACATTGAAAAATTCGTAAGGTCCGTTAGTTCGTTCCGTCGCTTAGTTGGCAGAGCGTCTGCCACGGTTTGCTGGAAGACGTTGGTTTGAATCCAGCCGGATCGAAGGGATTTTTTCTTAGTGTCCCATCTTTGTATTAATAATTATTACAAACTAGTGGAGTAATTTCACAAAAATGTTTGAATATCATTGTGGTCAAACATCGTAACATTAAATAAACTTAAAAAATTACAAGTAATTTGCAGTTATCTGAAATGAGTTTCATCTTGACTGACATTGATAATCTGTATTAACCACCCTCAATTATTACGTGGCTTAATTAGAACAGTAACACTTTTAGGATTTTGACGAAACAAATGAAAAAAAAACGTACGAAAAGAATAATAATATATCGTTTTTCATATCAAATAGAACTGTCACATTTGGTACAT